TCCGTAAAAAACACACAACATGGTACCTAATCCTATAGATGCTCAGTTAACTCATCCATAACTAAAGCAAAGATATATGGGCTCCAGATGTAGGCCTACTATCATTGAATAGTCATTTCTCTCCACTAGTTGTCCTCAGACTAGCTAGGGTTCAAAAACTATGTTGGGATACTCTTCCATCACTCAAATAGGTGTAATCCTTTGTTTAACGTGAGGAGAGTAGAAAAAGTGTCATGTTGGCTGCTCAAGTAATCGATCATTCTGCCCTAGCCTTAGTACAGTAGCTCTTAAGAATAATAAGGGGGGTGGACCATGAAAATTTGGAAAAAGGGGTCCCACTCAATGAAATAAAAAAGTACGTTGAAATGGGATCATTTTGATAGAAATGGTCATATTAAAGAAACTTGTTAGGATATAGTTGGCCATCCAACTAAATTTAACGGTTAGTCTAATGAGCATAATGCTTCATCCATTGGGGGTTATGCCGTTGTTATTACTGACAGCCATTACCAGATGCAATCCAACTTCCAATTTCTGATCCAAATGAGATGATATCAATTCCTAAAGAGGATATAGGAAGCCTTTGCCGATTGTTTGCCCAATTACATGGCCCATTGCGCACATCTACTTCATCTTTTACACACTCAGGTATTCATGCCTTTGTTCCTTGTGTCTCTCATACTCCACTTGGACAATCCTGGATTATTGATTTAGGAGCCTCAGATTAAATGACCAGTATGTCTTCCTTGCTTTCTTCATATTCGTTTTACTCTGGTAGAGACAAGTTAGTATTGTAGATGGATCCTTTTCTTTCCCTTTTTCTTATTGTTGGAAAAGGAACTATAGATATTTCTCCTAAAATGTTATGTCATCAGTTCTTCATATTCTTGGTGTTGCCTTTCAGTAGCATTAGCAGAGACTAAAATGGAGTGTAACCTTCTTTGGTTCCCACTGTCTTTTCTGGACCTAGATACAAAGAAGATGGTTGATCTTGGTCATGAAGCCGGTGGTCTCTATATTCTAGACTCAACAACAACGACTCCTCAAGCTCTTCAGTCCAGCACCAATGTCAATACAGATTGGACTTGGCAATGGCATCTTTGACTTGGCCATTTATCTTTAAGTCATTGAAAGTTTGTTCTCTATGTTGTTAATTTCAACTAGTGTGTCAGAGTTTCAATGTGAGGTATGTGAACTGTCAAAACATTGTAGAAACTATTTTTCACCTAGTAATAATAAAAGCACTGCATTTTTTGCTATTGTCCATTCTGATGTTTGGGGTCCCTCTCATGTTATATATATTTTTGTATGTTGGTATTTGTTTCTTTTATAGATGATTATTCTCAGTGCACCTAGATTTAAAGATGAACTTCCTAATGCCTTCAAGGTCTTTTGTAAGATGATCCACACTCAATTTGATACTCAAGTTAAGCTACTTAGATTTGATGAAAGTGGAGAGTATTGCAATGGGAAGTTGTCCTATTTGGAATACCATGGTATAAAATATCAAAATTCTTGCTCATACACAACACAACACAACAAAATGGTGTGATTGAAAAGAAAGAATAGACAACTCTTAAGTTGGCTTGCTCTTCTCTTGAATATGAATGTACCCAAGAAATTTTAGTCTGAAGCAACGCTTATTGCATCTTATCTTCTCACTTGGATGTCATCTCTTGTCTAGACTACAAATCTCCCTATAAACTTCTCTGTTCTGATCATCCACTGTTTAGTCTTCTCCCTAAAGTCTTCGGTTGTGGTTGCTTTTCTGCCTAAAGTCTTCGGTTGTGGTTGCTTTTATTCATGTTCTTGGTCCATATTGTAAAAAGTTGGATCTCAAATCTGTAAAGTGTATTTTTCTTGGTTATCCATCTTCTCATAAGTGTTACGAATGTTATGATCGAATATTAGGAAAGAAATTTGTCTTGATGGATGTAACCATTTTTTAGTCCACTCCTTTTCTCCCACCTCTCTTTAGAGGAGCACAGTGTGGAAGAGAGATCTCCCGTTCCTCTTCCTATCCCTATATTTCCTGGATTCTGGAGCTTAGGAGGATAGTGGGGGGCAATGTCATGATAATAAAGAGAAACAATTAAAGGTCAATCCTCGGCAGAGACAGAAAGAAGCGGAGACCCACATTGCTAACAAGCCTTCAAGCCAATTGCATACATCCAACCCAGTAGTCCCACCAAATCTCAATGTGATTATTTTGATCTGCTCATTGTTGCACAAATAGGTAGACGAAGTTACACTGTACACCTAATCAGCAATTTTATTTCTTATGAGACCTTGTGTCTTCTTTGTCTTATGTTTCTATTCCTTGTAGTGTAATGGAACCTTTAACTCATCCCAAGTGGAAAGTGGCCTACGTGCAAGGAAAAGAGGCAATTAATAAACAATGGTACTTGGGAACTGATACACCGGCAGGAAACATTTCGCTCCTATGGATAAGATGAAGTCTATTCGTGTCCTTTGTCTCTGGCAGCTAACTTGGAGTGGTCACTACACTAATCGGATTTCAAGAATGCTTTCCTTCATGAGGAACTGTAGGAAAATATGTACATGGTACCTCCACCTAGTTTAATGGCTCCTGGATATGAGAGAAAGTTTTTAGACTGAAAGGCCATCTATGGACTAAAGCAATCTTCCTGAGCTTGGTTTAAGACATTAAGTGGAATTGCTCAAAGTCATGCAAACCATGTCTTATTTGTCAAATACACCAACATCAGTACCATTACCCTAATTGTACATGTGGATGCTATTGTTGTAACAGGTAATCGTCCTAAAGAAATTCAACAATTCAAGAGCTTTCTGGCTAGGGAGCTAGAAAATAGAGATCTAGGTCCATTGAAGTATTTTCCCGATATTGAAGTGGCCACGTCTGAGAAGGGAATCTTTATCTCTCAAAGGAAGTAAGCGTTGGACCTCCTTAAGGAAACATGAAAGATCGAATCCAAACCAACCAATACAACTATGGAACCAATCCACAAACTTGCCAAAGGGGTGAAGCTCTCAAATATGTGGGTAGGTTTCAAAGATTAGGGGGTAGAGATATGTCTGTTAGTTACACATTCAGACATTGCATATGCTATGAGTGTTATTAGGGGGTAGAGATATGTCTGTTTATGCATGCTCCACGAACAACTAATTTTGAATTGCTTATACAGTTCTTAGATACATAAAATTATAACTAGATCGAGGATTGTTGTTTGCTAGTTATGAGCACTTTCGAGTTGAGCTTAAATAGACACAAATTGGGTAGGTTCTATCATGGACCTGACATCAGAGTATTGTACTCTGGTTGGGGGTAACCTTGTGACTTGGAGGAGTAAAAAATAGTCAGTTGTAGCCCGTTCAAGTGCAGAAGCAGAGTACCAAGTCATGGCCCATGGTGTGTGTCAATGTCCTTGTATTGTGATAACAAGGCAGCAATTAGTGTAGTTCACAATCCGGTCCACATGGTAGACTGACATTTCATTCGAGAAAGAGTTGGTACCAGGGAAGTTTGCCTTCCATATGTGAAAACTAAAGATCAGCTAGCAAACCTTCTTAACAAGGCTATGGGAAAACCCCGACTGTGAATGATCTTAAGTAAGTTGGTATGATTGATATCTATGCACCATCTTGAGGGGGAGTGTTGTGGATATTAAAGTTTATGGTTCATTCTATTGTATTTAAGCCCCTAAGGACTTATTTGCCTTTTTCCTTACTTAAAGGCATGATTGTAAGAAAAAATAATATATATTCTGGAAGAGAGGCGTATGTGGGTTAGATGACCAATGTGACTGCCTCTCAACATGATTCTCTCTCTAAACCTTTTCCTTTCTCTCTCTAGATCTTCTCCCTAATTCTCTCTCTCCTCTTTTTCCTTTGTTCTTGATATATATTTTAACCGAACCAACAAGAAATTGTATGCAATAAAGGTGCCAAGGAAATGGGAGAATATCTCCCAACGAGACCCAACTTCTTCTCAAACAAGGGAATCCACCTCCTCATTAAATATTCAATTTACTAATGAAGGAAATGACTACAGAACATTTCAGCTAGAGTTTTAATCTAAGGAAACGCTTAGTACGAGTGAAAATACTTCTACGAAAGTATTTTCACGTGAAAAAACTCCCTCATATGATTGGCTACCAATTGGTGTGAAAAAATGCATTGGGACTAATTATTGTGAAAAAAAAACTCCACACCAAATCATTTGAGGGAGTTTTTTCACATGAAAATACTTTCATGGAAGTATTTCACACGTACCAAATGTGCCCTAATATATGAAAATATAGTAATAGCCAATTGATGTGAAAAAACTCCCACACCTAATCATATGAGGGAGTTTTTTCACTTGAAAATACTTTTTCACATTAGAATTTCACGCGTACCAAATGAACCCTAATATATGACAATATAATAATTTTTTTAGTGTTAGAATCTTTTCTAAAAGTTCATCCCATTTCAATTGATATTTGAAATTTGGTTCTTCAAGAGAATCCAGCCAAAATTCTGGTTTTAACATCTAACATCTGGATGTGAATGTTAAGCAATTTGATTTTAGCGAAGGACCGACATCTATTGAGAGTTTGAACAAGGGAATGGCAGAGATTTGCAGTTACAAGGTGGAAAATGACTATAAGCAAGTGAAGTATGGAAATGTTCATTCATTTCAAAATGATAGTTTGCAGTAACCAAGCTAATCAGTCTCTGAAGCAGTGTAGATTATGGAAGATAACTTGCAATTAACCATCGATAAAATGGACAAGTAAATAGCTATACACCATTTTACATTACAAAATAATATGACAAACCCAGCAACAGATCCTGAGTATTCCTTTGACTTATTACACTAGCATGTGAAAACCAACTATCAACAGGCTTTCCAGAATTAACAGAACTTAAAAAACAAGAAATAGCCCTCATGAACTGAACTATGACTAAAGAGGTAAACAAATCAAGTAGATGCCATTTAAATGGGAATTAATCATTTCATTGTAGCAAATACTTACTTCGAAGGTTTGATTTAAATCCGCAACTTGTCAAGTGACTGGCAAGAATCTCTCCCAAATGCTGTTGCCAATTCTGCGTAACTTGAACTTCTGGGATAGCCCATACTACTGCTATCTCTGTAGCAAGGTTGACCGAAGCAGAAGATACTTGGGGCTGTTTTGTAAAAACAGTGATTGAATATATTGTACTGAATAATTGCCTTGTAGAATACAAAACTAAGTAGCATCACTAATATAAATCACATGAAATTCACAAAACAAATATAATCACAGAGAAAAGCTTTCAAAGAAGTGATGCAGAACATCTCAAACTATATATCTCTGAAGAAAATCCAGAAAAACCAGTTAAGTAGAATGGTGACATCAAATACTTAGTAGACAAATCCCCCATTAAAAATTATAAACCGCAAAGCCTAAGATACAAGTCCATATATAGCACAATCTTAAAATGGTGAAAAGTAAACAATTATTGCAAAACATTTTTCTCTTAAGCATGCCATACGAGCAATACTTACAACTCAATACCCAAGCAAAAGGCACTATTGGCAGTATATCAGACAAGGACCTTGGAACATCATGTCCATTTCATAAGAAAAGAACAATTTAAGCTGAGTTACACAGTGAGTGATGCATCCCCCAACCAGGTACAGATGAATTCATGTATGTCATAATTTGCGTATCGTTTTCCTCACATTAAATTTTAAAGAAAAGCTAAAATTTAGATCTAGTATCACTGGTTAAACAATCGAGGAATGAAGGTCAGAAGAGACCAAATAATTTTAAAATTTAAGTTGACTGCAACTTAAATGGCTCCAACAGTTTGCAGAACTTGTTCGCATCAAATTCAAATTCAAATATCAAGCATCACCGAAAAGCATACAGAACCTATTAAAGATGGGAAAAGTTTATATAGAGACGAGGCTCTAAGCAATCAAATTTGAGCCTACCTCAAAAAGTTCACTAGATGAGGTTGTTTTGATGCCCAAATATTTCAAATAGATCATCTTGACATCAAGATGCATGGACATGAAAAAAAAATGGATTTCAAGTTTTGGAAATAGTGTATTTTGTAACTCATTTTTAGACCGTCAATTTTCAAGATTTTCAAGTTTTCATAGATATGTCGATCTACACTATTTTTTAAGCTTTGAACTTTATAAATAAATATGAAAATATATTTTAAGGCCATCACAAAGATTTCCAGTGGTAAAACCACATTTCTCAACACTATTTGAAGGTAGGCACTGATTTGATTGTTTATAACCTAGGCTCTATACAAACCGCACCCATTAAAGATTAAATCATTATGGCGTTATGAGTTTTGAATGTAGTATAGGGTATCTTTGTCCTTTTTGTGAACTTAAGGACATTAGGTTTTACTAAAGTACTTAAAGGCATTTCTGTAATATTATCATCCAGATAAAGAGACTATTTATCTTTTGTACATGAAGGTCACAATTATTTCCATTCATTAGATGTCAAATTGGATGGCTTGGGGTGAATCACGAAGTCCGAGAATTTTTTTTTTGGAACTTTGTGTCTATTCAATAATACTCTTACAACCACCCATTTTGAAATTTAAGGGACAAGAATGATTGTGACCTCCATGTCTAAGGATAAATGGTCTCTTTGTGGACAATCCTATAAATAAAATTTAAAAGGTGCATGTGGGCTAGGCAATTAGTCCACACACCTCTCTCTCTCTTCTCTTTCATCTTTTCTCTCCTCTCTTTCTTTTCCTCTTCCCTCTCTCTCTCTAGTTTTTATTGTTCATGGTACTGTTTATGGAAATGTTTACAACAATGTTCATAGTACTGTTCACAGTACTGCTCAAATGGCATCAGAGCATATCTGAATTGATCTTCTCCTTTGCTTGAACTTTTCTTTTAAAAAAGAGAGAAGAATTGAAGAAGGGAAACCCTAATCTCATTGGGTGCTGATCTTGTCAAGCAGTATCTTGTTTTTTTGTGTGTGCAGGGCTAGTATGATGGCCTGCGTGTGCTGTGAATGTTTATGTTGCTGAAGTTTCCTCTCTTGGATGTGAAAAACGGGAGGAATATTTGCTGAAATGTCTCAAAGTGTGTTACTGAAGTAATAGGAGTCCTGTTGTGGATCATCGATGCCTGAATGATAAGTTTCCTCTTCATAAGTCTTGAAAATTTTTATAAGTGCAGTCCTTTACCTTGCAAACTGCTGTTTTTGTGATTTAGTGAATTTAGAAAGTTCAATTTAGTGTTTTAGGGCTCCTAATTGTGCTCAGCCTGATATACTCTTGCATACCTGTTGTGTGTGTTATTATCTTTTCCTTATGGCTGAAGAAAGTAAGCCTGGAATTTCTACCATTAGTGACATGATAGGTATTCCAGCAACTATTGAGAAATTAAATGGGCCTAATTACCCCTTATGGACCCGGTCTATAAAGATATTTCTAGGTGCAAGGAGCAAGATGAAGTTTCTAACTAAAGATGGGCCAAAAGAGTCAAATAATGGGTATGAGGAGTGGCTTAAGGAAAACTATCATATTATGACCTGGTTGTGGAATAGTATGGAAGCCCAAGTAAGGACTAATGTCATGTTTTTTTTATACTGCCACGAAAGTGAGGGAGGCAGTACATGAGATGTACTCTTCTGATGAAAATATTTCTCGAATTTATCAACTATACGAGAGCATGGTCCTTTTACAGCAAGGTGACAAGAGTCTTAGTGACTATTAGAGTACTCTTCGAAGAATGTGGGAAGACTTAAACATGTATCAACCTGTGTCAAATGGCATGGAGCTTCTAAGGAAGCAAAGGGAAGAATTTGGAGTTGCAAAATTCTTGTTTGGCCTTTGTTCTGAGTATCATTCTGATCGTGCCCATATCTTTGCTACTAGTGAACTTCCTTCTCTTAACAATGTGTATTCACGTCTTCAACAGGTTTCTATAACTACTGCCCGTATGAGTGGTGGATCTGCCTTGACTACCACAATCGGCAGAAGTGACGATAGGGGCCGTGGTGTTGGTAATAGAGGACGTGGCTGTGATTCAGGGGGGGGTCGTGGTAGAGGCCAAGGAAACAAGAAGTGCACCCACTATGGATGGACCAATCATATGGCTGAAAAATTGTGGGATAAGTTTGGTAAGCCCGCTTGGGCTAATCAAGCAGCCTATGTTTCTGAGAGTGATGAAATACATACACTTGGCTCTAGTAATCAGAGTCAAGCTCTTAAATCTGCTAGTGATTCAGTTTTGCTCTCGCGTGAAGAATATGATAACCTACTCAAGGATAGTCAAAAGCCACCTACTCATCCATCCTCTTCCATTGCCACTTTAGCAACTACTGGTACTTATGTTTGTTGTGTTTCAAAGGCCATCTCCCTAGGTCATTGATTCAGGAGCCTCTGATCATATGACTGGTGAGTCTTATGTGCTTTCTGCCCTTAATCAATTAGATTCCACTGCTTGTGTTGCATTGGTTGATGATTCTTTATCTGGTGTGTCTGGGAAAGGCATTGTTTGTCCTACTCTTCACTTTCATTGTCATCTATTCTCTATGCTCCAAAGTTTCCATTTAGTTTGTTGTTAGTTAGTGAATTAACCAAATCTCTTAAGTATTCAGTGACTTTCTATCCTTCACATTGTGTTTTTCAGGATCTAATGACGAAGAAGATGATTGGTGGTGGTCGTAAGCCTGGAGGACTCTACTATCTTGATCTTAGTCTCGTTAGTGTTGCTCTTCATTCCGGTATTTCTCCCCTTCGATGGCATTGCCGGCTTGGTCATCCATCTATCAATAATCTGAAGTTGTTAGTTCCTTAATTAGAGTCTTTGTCAACCCTAGAGTGTGAACCTTGTGAGTTAAACAAGCATCATAGGCTTTCCTTCCACCCAAGAATCAATAAAGAATGTTAGTTCCTTTTGCAGTTGTTCATTCAGATATTTGGGTCCTGCTAGACTTCAGAGTCTATCTGGTTACAAATATTTTTTAATTTTTGTGGATGATTTCTCTCGGATGACATGGATCTATTTAATGAAAGACAAATCTTTTTCAATTGTTTAATAGAGAAATTCATACTTAGTTTGGAATGAATGTTTATAATTTGTGGTCAGATAATGCTAGAGAATATTTATCCCATGATTTTCAGAAATATTTAACCACACATGGTATTTTGCATCAAACATCATGTGCCCACACCCCTCAATAGAAGGGGGTAGCAACGAGGAAAATTCATCATATAATAGAAGTAACTTGTGCTTTGTTATTAAATATGCGTGTGCTAAAAATTTATTGGGGAGATGTTGTATTGACTACTTGTTATTTGATAAATCACATGCCTTCCTCTGTTTTAGAGGGAAAATCACCACACTCTTTACACTTTTATGATAGACCTTTATTTACAATTCCTCCTCGAATTTTTGGGTGTGTGTGTTTTGTTCATGTTCTAGGCCCTGGTATTGACAAATTAGATCATCGATCTATTAAGTGTGTGTTTTTAGGATATTCTCATACACAAAAAGGTTATCGATAGTATCATTGTGGTTTGAAGAAAACATTTGTTTGCGTAGACATTGTCTCTTTTGAGAATACTCCATATTTTTTTGGATGAAGGGAAAATGATTGAAATTGACTCAAGGGACCTCATTCAAGTGGAGAATTTGCATGATGGAGAGTTCATTTCTTCATCCTCTTCTATTCCCATTCCTATCCCGGTTCCTATTTCTTTTGGTGACCCTCTTGCATCACCTCAAGTGTCCACTCATGAAGAGCCTATCTCTCCTTCTATTTCTAATGTTCCACAGGAATAGACCTACAAAGTATATACGAGAAAGAAAGTGAAGGAAGTGTCATCACCACCAGCACAGCCAACCAATCAATCTTCCTCTTCGCCTAGGGATCCTATTTTTGATCCAAAACCCACTCCTGGGCATGATAATGTTGATCTTCTGATAGCACTTCATAAAGGTCATAGATCTTGAACTAAACACCCAATTATTCAGTTTGTTACATTTGCGAAACTGCCTTCTTCTCATAGATCTTGTACTAAACACCCAATTGCTCATTTTGTTACATTTGCAAAACTATCTTATTCTCATAGATTTTGTACTAAACACTCAATTGCTCATTTTGTTATATTTGCAAAACTGTCTTCTTCCTATAGGAAGTATGCCTTAGCTCGTTCCTCCATCTTTGTACCCAACTCCTAACAGGAAGCTCTTTCACATACTGGATGGAAGAAAGCAATGGATGAGGAAATGGCTGCACTTAAATCATATGGCACGTGAGAATTTACTCATCTGCCAGCAGAAAAGAAACCAGTTGGATGTCGTTAGATGTACACGGGTAAACATAAGCCAGATGGATATGTGGAGAGGTTAAAAGCCAGGCTAGTGGCCAAGGAATATACACAAACCTTTGATATTGACTATTCTTAAACATTTGCACCAATAGCGAAGCTTAATTCAGCCCAAGTGCTTATATCTGTAGTAGCAAATAAGGGGTGGCAAATGCAGCAACTTGATGTTAATAACATTTTCCATCATGGTTATCTATAAGAAGAGGTGTATATGGAGCAACCACCAGGATGTGTTGCTAAGGGGGAGTTAGACCAAGTATTTGAGGAAAGCAATTTATGGACCGAAGCAGTCTCCATGTACATAGTTTGAGAAGTTAAGCAAAAATTTTATGGCATATGAGTTTTGAATGAGCCATGTGGATTCAATATTTATTTGGAAAGAATCCCCTGGAATTAATATTTTGGTGGTTTGTGTTGATGATATCATTATTAAAGGGAGTGATCAAGAAGGAATTAATAAACTGAAGGGTTATCTGCGACGGTATGTTCAGACAAAATTTGGGACGGCTGAGGTATTTTCTTGGAATGGAGGTAGCCAGGTCTCAGAATGGTATCAATTTGTCTCACAGGAAATATGTAATCAATTTCTTAACAAAAACAAGGATGTTGGGTACTAAGCCAATTGATACACCTATGGATCCAAGTATGAAACTATCAAAGGATCATGGAGATTTATTGGAAGATCCTGGCAAATACATAAGACTTGTAGGAAAACGTATCTACTTGACAATCACTTGGCCACATATAACCTTAGCTGTGAGTGTAGTGAGTTAGTTTATGAATTCCTTCAGAACACCACATTGGGAAGCAATAAGAAGGATTTTGAGAGATTTGAAGGGGGCTCAAAGTCAAGAACTCATCTACAGGAAGAATGGCCATTTTAGTATTGACAACTATTTTGATGCTGATTGGGCAGGATCTCAATCAGATAGAAAATCTACCACCGGTTATTGTACCTTTGTTGGAGAAAATTTGGTGACCTGGAAAAGCAAGAAACAAAATGTGGTAGCAAGGTCTAGTGCAAAGGCTGAGTATAAAGCAATGGCTCACACTGCATGTGAGCTAATGTGGTTGAAAACCTTGATAAAGGAATGGAATTCTTGATTATTGAGCCAATAAAGATGTTTTGGAACAATCAGACAGCCATACATGTTGTTAGCAACCTAGTTTTTCATGAGAAAACAAAACATATCAAGGTTGATTGCCATTTTATTCGGGAGAAAGTGACAAGTAAGCAGATAACAACTCTATATGTGAAATCAAAGGATCAATTGGCTGATATATTTACCAAGGATCATGGTCGTAACTAGATTCAGTAGATTTATTCCAAGCTGAGCATGGGTGATATCTATGCTCCAGCTTGAAGGGGACTGTTAAAGATTAAATCATTGTGTGGTTATGAGTGTTGCGGTATCTTTGTCCTTTTTGTGAACTTAAGGACATTAGGTTTTACGAAAGCACTTAAAGGGCATTTCTATAATATTATCATCCAGTTATTATAAATAAAGTTTAAGAGGTGCACATGGGCTAGGCCATTAGTTTATGCACCTCCCTCTCTTTTCTCTTTCATCTTTTCTCTCTCTTTCTTTTCCTCTTCTTTTCCTTTTCTCTCTCTAGTTTTTATGGTTGAAAGCACTGTTCACAGAACCTACAATTGAAACCAACAACACTGAGATTATGCTACACAGGAGCTGGTAATGTATCTCTTCATTTCAAGTAAACAAGTCACGAGAGGTACATCATTGCTTCAAAACTCCATATGGAAAAAGCAAAACTCTGTTATACTGAACTGAATGTAGCACACATATACTCAACATAGTACATACATAAAAGAAAGACGATATGCATACATAAAAGAAAGACGATTTCAAAACTCTTAATCCTATCAGATGGCTTATACAAAAGCTACTGTATTGATATATTAAGTGTTTTCCATTACCAGCATTTATTGCCTCACAGTGAGAACATAGAAACAATGCACAGCATACCGCTTAATGTTTCTAAGACAAAATAACGAAGAGAACTTACTTGACTTTCTAATATACGTTTCACACTTGCAGCACATCCTCCACAAGACATCCCCTGGGCGTAGGAATTTACACAAATTTAAAGCTAGGACACAACATTAAAAGCAATTAAAAAAAAATGACAGGAACCCTCTTGATGATGACAACCAAGGTCCGCAAGGAAACAAGACATCAAGAGTGTTTCCAGGATGGTAGCAGAAAACAAGCCTCTAACGCACGGTACATATCTATTAACCAGGGAGACAGAAACATGTCAACACTAGAGTACAAATTATAAGCAGTAAGCCTTGGAAACAAACAAAGAAAGGTAAACAAGCCAAACCCCAAAATCATAGACACACGCTCCAAAAAAAATTTCAATATGCTTCTATGAAACCGAGAAACAGTACACAATTAGGAAAAAATTTATCAAACCCAAATAGTGTAAGTGATGGTCAAATACTTGTCAAAATATGTGTGAGAGAGAGAGAGACTATCAACTACATGGCGCATTCAAGCCCCCAAAAAGGCACAGTAAACAGATCTCTCTCAATAGAAACAGTTAACTCATTGAGAACCCACACTATTTTCTCGTTGTCTTCATTTTACCAATTGAGAACTAACAAGACGCCTCCATTTTAAGCACTCGTAATATTTCCTCAATGGTGGATGTTTCATCCAAGGGTTGAGGATACATTTGATGATTGTTTTAGTTAAAATAAAATCAGAGGACTGGAATATTTTGAGGACCCAAAGATCCAAAAACTTCATATGTTTTGATTTTTTTACAGTGCCAAGTATGTAGGGAAGTGTTGACAATACAATTTCAGTATCACCTCAATTAACCAAAAATAAAAATTATCAAATATCGACATCACCTTTCTTTGTATGTGTATTGTATTTGTCCTTCCTTTAATTTGTTGTCTCCTAGTTGTTATATGGCTGACTTAAGTTGGATATTTTGGGGTTTAGACCAACATATGATACTTTGTTGTTGTTGTTAGCCTCTGAACCTCGAGTCAACGCAATCAAGTCAACGCAATCAAGTTTTCCAAGATATAGTTCTTCTAGCTGGAACACTATCTGATATACGAGTCTTCTTTTTCCATCTTTGTTTCCTTGCTTTGGCATCTTGAACCTATTATCATGTTTTAGTACCAAATCCGTTTTTCCGGATTCTATGTTTTCTTATCACTAGCTTAAAATAAATAAGACTACTACTATAAATCATTCTCAGAATAAAGGTATATATGATTTCTGCAAGGAAGCAGAAGAAACAGTGACTCACTGGTTGATCCATTGTAATAAAGGTCAGGTGTTGTGTTCACGTGTGGTCGAATCTACAGCCTTGGTTCATGAATTCATATTTTCTATTAATGGATGGTCTAACAGTTCAGATGAAATCCTGGAAAAGTAGCTGAAAGCAATCATTTTCTGCACCCAAATGAAACTTTAGATAGTCTGGAATTTTATCATGAATTTTGGACAAATCTGAGCTTCAATTCCTAGAATGATGTTTAGATGATTTCTAAGACAATTCAATCCAATTAACTAGGAGCGCAGATATTTCTAGATGATTAAATACAAATCAGTAAGAACATGGCACTTCCAATGATCAAAACTGAATATCAAATAATCATTTCCAACAATGCAGAGAGAGAAGATGACGATGATGATGACAAATTTTAAATAATTCATAACTGAAATCACAGGAATGAGGGCACCTCTAAGACTCCAGAGAAAGAAACAGGGAGAGCAAGAGACGTGAAAGAGAGAGAGCATGGTGCGTTCTAGAAATTCCACAAAAAGGTTTGAGTCATCCTACAATCTTGAAATAACGACGAATGCATTATTCCCTCCTTATTTTCGCAAATTAATTACACAAGCAACCTTTATGATAACAAAAACAATTTACCAGAGACAAAGTTACTAACCCCAACATCGAGTATAATGACATCAGAACGCTTCACAGCTTCTTCAGCTCTCACTCTCTCGACCTGAAACTCATCTCCGCCATTACCGCCGCCACCTCCTCCTCCTCCATCTCCACCTCTTCTCTCTCCTCCATTTCCAGCTCCTACTCCTATTCCTGAAATAGAGGCCGTTCGAGGAACATTTGAAGCCCTAAAGCCCAATTTTCCAGCCATAATTCCAGATATTGAAATCGAATTCCAGAGACCGAACGTCGCGGAATTGCCATGAAACAAACATGAAAACCAAACTCTTCTCTGAGAGGGGAGAAAGCGTGGGTTCAGAGAGCGAGAGAAGAGGGGTCTTAGGGTTTTGCAGGAGCGGAGAAGGGGGGCTGACGCACCTAAAGCCTCCATCACAGAGAGAGAGAGAGAGAGAGAGAGCGGTAGCAGCAATGAAGACGAGAGCCTTCACTGCTTTATCCGCTTATCGCTTCAATGAGCGGGAAGAGGAATACTAAAAGAAAGAAAAAATGACGTAATTGCCCCCGATCCTTTCCACTTAGCAAGGAGATCCGTAAGCTAAATAAACCGTCCGACTTGCACACCTCGAGCCCCAGTTGGATTATTTCGTATTTGGACTGAAAACGATTTTGGGATCGACTCATTCGGGAATTACAATACGAATCCCGATCCACTGTTTTGTTCTATTAATGGTCATTATACTCTATTAAGAGTCGTACCCTCAATAAATATAGAAGTTCATATATATTTTCTTTCTAATTCCAACAATATCTTTTTGGGTTTACCATTTGTATTTTTTTAGCTTTCCACTTGAACTAACTTGCATCTTCTAACAAGCGTCGTACTTGGTCTAGTCACATATGGCCAGTCCATCTAAGTCTATTCTCTCTCATCTTATCGTCTATTGGTGTCACATCTAAATTTTTCTAAATAAATTCATTTCGAATTATATCCCTTCTTGTCTTGCCACTCATCCATTTCAATATCCTCATCTCTGTTACTTTTCGCTTCATAAAAAAAACGCTAGTCTCACAATTGTCCTATAGAACTTGCCATTCAGCTTCATTGGTATGCAACGATCACATTAAAATTTCGGTTATACATCTCCATTTCGTCCACTCAAATCTAATTTTGTATGCAACATCTTTCTCAATCTCTCCATTTTCCTAAATTATAGACTCAAGATATCGAAAGTGCAGTTTTTTTTTATATTTCTTGGCTGTCAATCTTAACTACTTCATCTTCTCTACTCCTACTATTATTAAATTTACATTCTATATATTATGCCTTAGTCCAACTAGTTTTAAAATATTTAGATTCTTACCTCATCCTATAATTGTCTCGTTAAGCCGTCCATTATTGACACAAAGGTATGGGCTCAATGCTAACCCCTGATCTAGACCTCTTGTCATTGAAAACTCACTCGTCTCTCTACTAGTTGTTCATACATATTCTCTCACCAAGTCGATATAGCATTTGGAGGCTCATTTTTTTTCCAATACCCACTAAAACAAATATCATTGTATTATATCATAAGTTTTCCTTAGATCAATAAAGACCATGTTGAGGTCTTTTTTCTTCCCTCTAAATTTCTCAATCAGTTGCCTAAGTAGAAAAATTGCCTCAGTTGTTGACCTCCCTGGCATAAAACCAATTTGGTTTTCAGATACACTCGTTTCATGTCTTAGCTGTTGCTAAATCAATCTCTCCCAGAGCTTTATAGTATGGCTTATATGCTTGATCACTCGATAGTTCACACAATTTTGTATGTCTCTTTTATTCTTGTAAATAGGTACCACAATAATTTTCTTCCATTCGTCTAATATTTTATTTGTTCTCAACGCTTTGTTGAACAACTTCATAAGCTAATCGATGCCAATCTCTCCCATATACTTCTAAATTTTTATCAAGATACAATCAGGTCCTAAAGCCTTTCCTATCTTCATTATTTTCAAAAGCTTCTTTCACTTTTGAAATCCTAATCCTACAATTGTATATATGACCTACACCCTCATTTATATAAACGTTATTTCTACTGCTATGTTTCTATTGTGTTTGTTATTTAATAGTTTTTATAAATAAACTCTCCACATTTAGTTGATCTCTTCATCATTTACGAAGACCCTTTGATCATAACATTTAATATAGTTTAGATCCCTATGTTTTTTCTCTCTCATTATTGCTAATTTGAAGACGTATCTTTTTCATGTTCTTGTTCCCAATTTACTCTTGTTCCCAATTTACTGTATAAATTACCATATGTCTTAAGTTTAGCCTTACTATTTGTTTAGCTTTTTTCTCAGTATTTTTCTATTTTTCTAAGTTTTAATCATTTCTATTACACTGGCAAGTTTTATAATATGATTGTTTTTCGCTAATGGCTTTTTGAACATCATCATGATAAATACTATGAGATTATTTATCATTATTACAAAGAGTTACAAACCCTTTTAGCCATCAGATGTCAAAATTGATGGTTGAGGGTGTGTCACAATTTTTTTTTTAATAAAAGTAATAATTGAACTTTCAATCTAGTCAGCACACTTATAGGCACCCAATTTAAAATCTGATGGATAATAATGGTTGTGTCCTCTTTGTATTAAAAGTAAATGTGTCTAATGAAAGATAAGCATATGTGACTTTCAAAAGATGTTCTTAAGTCTTCATCATTTGTAAGTTCTTTATGTGAGGCTCAAGTGTTCACGTGTATATGACCTTGTAAGTAACTTTTGAAGTTTCATAGTAATCTCAAGTATCTATGACATGTATGTGACCTTTTTGTAACTTGTAACTTTTGAATTAATGTTAATGTTTTAGAGAAAGATGTTTGGTGGCCTATGAGACTTGGGCTAATAAGATGGTTTTTAAATAGAGATATTTTTTTACGTTTTTGGTGAAGGTGGATATCTACATTGATATAAAATATATATCAGTATGTATTATGAGTTTCTATCAGTAAGATTTACCAAGTAGAGAGGGTTTCTTTGAAGGAGAAGGAAGCCGAGGTTGTAAGGTTGTTTGGGCAAAAAATATTTCAAATAAGCTAAAGTTGTACTCGCCTGATCCTTCACTTTTCCCTTTATCAAGTTGTGTTGACATCATCAACGGCTCAACGCTCTCAAAATGACCCTGAGATTAAGGGGAAGATGATTATTGAACTTTTTGATGTGGTGCATACCAGGTATGAAGTTGATGATGCAGTTCTATGTTTCTTTTATACACACACCATCCTGTTCAATGTTACAAAGTGCCCGAGGTTTCAGGTAATAGTTTGTGCTATTAATCACACTCCTATAGGCTACATGGCCGCGAAATATGATAAGGTGCACACGACGTTGCTCGACAAGGAAAAGAAAATATTGATCACACCCAAATACATTAACAGAGGACTTGGCAACTTATAGAGTGTATATTGTCTCTTATGGGTGGACAATGGCGGTATCTGGAGGTAAAGCAATGTTCATAAGTGCTCATGATTGCTCTGATAGAGAAAAGTCAGGTGCTAATATCACTTAGATACTTCTGAAAGCAATAGATGTGGTTCACCCATACAACGTAGTTCAGGTTGTAACATATAATGCTGCAAACTATAAATCAGCGAGGAAGATTGTGATGCGGAGTTGCCCACTTTTTTTGGTCAGGGTGTTTAGCATACTTGTTAAGCCTCTTGATGAAAGACATTGTTGATAAGCAGCAAAGGCACCCAATCTTCATATCATTGCAAGGAGACAAAAGCTCGGGGTCAGATGTATTCATAATCACGTTAAATGTTTATATCTGTTTCGAACTTATTCAAAATTAGAGTTATTGAAGGTCAAGAAACAAGATTTGGATATCATTGTGTTATGTTGAGGCACTTGTTGGATGTCAGGGTTGCATTAATGTCATTAGTATTAAGGGTTGAAGCAGGGACTATCAGATAAGCGTAAACTAGGAGGTGCGCAATACAATAATTAATGAGGAATTTTGGAGTCAAATTAAGATTATCATCCGCTTCACAAGACTAATATGGAAAATGAATCTAATTTGCAGATAATGATAAAGGTTTCATAGGAGATGTTTATGAGCACATGGACAAAACATTGGAAGAGATTGTGGTTATCTCGTACAATGAGCCTGGTCTATGTCAAAAGGTGATGGAATTGACTTTACATCATTATGACAGGACGAATCTTCCTTTTTATTGTCTTGCTTTTGTCCTTACATCAAAGTACTACTCCCAAGAGAGCGGTTGGAATCCCTAACCCCAAAGGAGAAGGGAAGAAAAGCCCCATCATGACATTGAGGCGTTCATTTCTTACCAAAAAGCCGTTGAGAAGCTGATTGCATATGAACGTGACATAGGTCAAATGTGGAAGAATTTTAGTGATTTTATAAGTAATAGAGGGATATTTTTCCAATCCACGGTTTATAATTGATCACAGAGCGATGGACATTCTCGTATGCGGAAGAATTTTAGTGTTTTTATTAATAATAGAGGGATATTTTTCCAATCCACAGTTTATAATTGATCACATAACGATAGACATTGTGGTATGGTGGGACATGTACGGTGGTGGGGTGCTGGAATTGTATTCTCTCTCTGTGATTGTGATTCTCGGCCTGCTGCAAGAGTAGCCACAAACCATCCATCTAATGCGGCAACTCCTACCAGTGTTGATGTTGATGCCCCTTACACTAGCCAACCACGTCTGCATGTACCCAATCCATGGCACGCAGCTTTTGCGGCACAAAAGACTACGAGCTGCTAGAACGGGTTCAATAGCAAAGAGAAAGAGGAATTGAAAGAAGAATGTGATGAGATAAAGATCGACAAAATTGGGTTCATCACTCTCTCTTGGTGTTATGTTTTTCTTTTCTTTTTTTTTTATGTTTCCTTTTGGATGCCTCCATGTAAAAAAACACTAAAGCAATCAAGATGAAAAGCCCTGGTGGGTTAGTAATAAATCTACGTTCGTGCATTGTATGTATGGCCCTAGATTACTATACCCAACAACATCAGGCCAAAAAACTGCACAAAAAAAAAAAAAAAAAAAAAAAAAGGTAGAAAAACTCTTATGAAAATTTACGAGTTTTTGTGCGTTGTACATCTTTCAAACCATGTGGTCTCTCGATGGCAAAGGACCCAAAGAATAAACCGTGCAGTATGCGAAGCACAAAACTTGTTTGAGTCGCTTTGAACCATGCGCTACAATCATATTCGATAACGAACCTCCATTGAGCCGCTTTGGATTATGCACTCCATTGAATCACTTTGACACCAATCTTAGACACGTAGGTGTCCCAAACTCAACATAAACGACAATAAAAACTAAAAAAATACAAGGTTTTGATGGAGGTTACATACTTTTTATGGATTTGAGCTCCCTTTTTAAAATTGATTGTTCCCTTTCGTGCATTGAGAATTCATTGCCTACCTTTTAAGCATCCATCTTTTGATTACTAGAACTAGGATGACAATTCAATGTATATAATCACGTGCCTAAAGAGATGGCCCGAGAGCTCTCACTTGCGTCAAGAGGGGGTCTGTTGCTAGGGTTTCCAAGAAGATGGAGAGAGAAAGACATGGGTTTTTGTGCTCACTTTTCAAGGAAAGAGGTGGGAAGGTCTGGGAGGAGCTACATGTAACTCACCCGAAAACTATTTCTCTCTACAACCCTCTTTTTAAAAGGTTTAAATTATATTGATTATCTAACATATGATTATCCAAATCCAATTAGTTAACCATATGAAGCTATTCAAATATGTTAGATAAGATTTCAACTAACAATCTCGATTCTTTTATTTCTCAACTCTAAACAATCAAAATATTTATATGAAAGTTCACTCACCTATAAGGGCCGGGCCATCTAAGTATGATAGGAAAAAAAGGTACGAAGGGAAAACAACCATAGAGAAAAGCATTGACAATGGAATGGATAACCAATTTCATGGAAGAAGTACAAATAGTAGAAGGAACCAAATTGTTAAGAAAAAGTTGTGACAAATTAAATTGAATACTTCTTGTCTTGGTAAGTCAGCCATGATAAGCGGTCCATCCATGCAATAATCAAGAAATATGATAAGGGCAACACGAAATAGAGGACGCTTTGGATATAAATTGGAAGCCAAATGTTGGAAGATTCGCAAATGACCATTTTGCAATTCCAAGAGATAACATGCTCCCATGGGAGCATATTATTCACTCTCTTGATTAAAACCTTATCTAGGGGCATTTCTAGGGCCTCAAATTTTAGGGATTTTTCATTTCAACCTAGCCGCAGGACTCCAAAATAATAAAAAAAAAAATAAAATAAAACCCAAGATTGAAAGAAGAATGATCCTAAGTGTTAGGGAACTTGAAATCCAAATTTTCTTTGATTGAAATGACCACCTCATGATTCTAAAGCGGACCCCAAATTTCACAACGAAAAAAAATCTTCAAAGTAGCTCTTTTGCTTCAGTAAGTAAATGCACATGTGCTCCCCCATAGGACGGCATTATCTTTTGTAATCTATGTATCATAGGCATTCCCAAAGGGCGGGTACTCCAAAATTAGATTATATCATGGAAACTTACATACAGTGAGGACCACCGCATTTCTACATTTACAGTCCCCGAAGTATAAAGCATAAATCTTAAGGATGGATGCAAATAGGTAGTCCAATCTAAAGACAATTGAAACTCACATTCCAAATGTTTTTTTAACAGAATTATTATTTTGAATTTTCAAATTTATTTATTTTTTCATATTCATGATCTCCATGTTAGAGATCACATGTCCTTAAAAATTAGGTCCAAAAATCCATCATAAAAATAGATTCTTAAGAGGTGACTCATTTCTACATGGGTGTGTCCTCGCATAATCCTGAGGTAATTCACTATAGATGTTATTTGAGGAAATACATCCAATAACGCCGCATTTCCTTTTAACAAATTGTGCTTAAAACACAGGTAAAGATTAATAGCAACTCCGAAATTTTGCAAGGAAACAAGCGTGTGATCGAAGAAACAGCGTTCTAAGATTCAGGTTCTCCAATTTATAATGAAAATTTGTGACTAATGATCACAAGTCAAAATTCACATTAAGAACGCCTACAATAAGGCTTGGATCATTAGAAGAATACAAGGTTTTTTTTTTTTTTTTTATTGTCAATACAATGAGAGTATTGACTCATGATTCCTTCTCCTTAACCTTGTATGGGTGTTTCTGATAGATGGTTATGCTGCTGATCACAAAAGGAAATGCCGACAAACAGTACAAGGACGGTGGAATGCCGTCGAAAATGAATTGCAGAAGGGCTGTGACCAACAATGCAGAAACAATGACAAAACCCTGCAGTATAAAAAGCAAGTGTTATATACACAACAGAGCTTAGTATCAGAGAGAAACTTAATTAGCAAGGAAACATAACAAATGAATTTGTATGAGAGAGAATTGTAACACCCGAGAAAGTAAAATGCAAAACTACACCAAAGCGCTGGATTTAGAATGGCAAAATGCAACAAGCTAAAAAAGCCCAACAAATTTAATAGTTTTAAAAAGACATGCAGAACAGCCACCAGTTTTTAAAAAGGTGCAAATATTTCCCCTGAAAATGAAAGGTAACTCTCTTTCTCCACACACCGCCAGCATCTCTCTCTCTCTTACACACACACACACAAAAGAACACAAATCCAGCAATTTTCTTCGTCACCACTGTATAGTAGGAATGGGGTTAAGTTCAAGGTGGTAGCACCACTTGTGACTCAGCTACCAGTTTCGATTTCTTTTCCTAACAATGCTAGCCCCTTTCGAAAACTACTAACAGTTACATAAATTGCTAACCCACTACTAACAGTTAACATTCAAAAAATAAAAAATAAATAAACCACCACCGTATGGTCCCACTAGCAACTGTTGGAGGGAGAGTGAGAGCAGAACTCCTATCAGAGAGAGAGAGAGGTAGCACTTCTAGCAGAAGGGTAATTTTTGCAATCCTATCGCTCTGGTTCTTTCGCTTTCCAATTGGCAGCAGATTTCTACCCTATTGCTTACTGAAAGTTTAAACTGGTGGCCTTTCAGGTCTAATAGATGAGATTCCATGACATTCTACATTATCTGTAAAAAAAAAAGCCAGATCAATTGATATATAAGAGGTTGAATTACCTTCATGACGCCCCCAGCATGGGTGGTAACAAGTCCGACAAGGATCCCACCTATGGCATTAGTTAGAACTGGTATCTGAGAAAAAAGTAAACTGCTCATTGTGAGAGAAAATGGATAATAAAGTGCGGTGTTCTAATTCAGTTGCTTGGCAGACCAAATTTCTAAAGGAAAGATTGATTTGTCCAGAGAGAGACAGAGGGAGGGAGGGAGGGAGGGAGGGATGGGGAGAGAGTGAGAGAGGGAGAGAGAGCGGGGGAAGAGAGAGAGAGAGAGAGATCCATTCGACGTTATTTGTTCCATTGATCTCGCGTTTTCAGACAAGCAATCTTAATAGAAATATTACAACTGTGTGAGAATGATAAATTAAGAAGGTATCTACTATTGGTAGGATAAAAAAAGTGATTACAAAGAATGCTCACTCTCATTTCTGTATCCTTCCATGTATATACAAATTTCAAACATAACTGTTTACTCTCCAACATTACTATTTCAAATTCTTGCCCATTAAAACTATCCAACCAAACCAAATTGGCCTGATCTAGTTGGGGCAAGCCTGATAGACCAACTTCTGCCTAGTTTGCTACAAGTTAGTATCAAAAAGAGTAATCTTCACATTTATCTAGCGTTCATATGTGAATAACATTGGAACGTTTCTTGTTCTTTCGCTAATAAGGCCAATTGCCAGTATTAAGAGGAGGGGCTGAGGTCCTACATGAGTTGTTGAGGTAGAGTGCATTAATTTGATATTTTTTTTTTTCAAAAGAATACATGTACTTCGGGTAATTCATTGGATATAGACAATAAGCCATCTCTTTTAAGCAACCTTTCTCTAGACAACCAATTAGCTGCCTCGGCACTTCTAAAACCATGTAGGAAGGACATTATCAGAGTGATCATTCCCAAATGTTTGCCAATCTCCTAGGGTACACCATCTTGCTTTTTTCCCATCTGATCACATTTGGCAAGTCATACTTTGCAAAAAGAGGCCCAGACAGCAAAGGGTTGCCCTCTGCCATCAGCCAGAGGTCCAGGCATCCAATGAGTCACATCCAACTCTAGTGACTGATAAAAGTCTAAGGCTGGTCAAAAGGGCAAACATCGCAGGCAAGTTGGCATCTTTGAACCAAAGTATTTGGTCTAATTCTCTAATACATCCTACACATCTGAACTGTCTCTGCATATACCTATACCCAAAGAGGACTAGGATTATCACATCAACTGGCATCAAAATTAAGTGCCAGAATGCACAGAGGCCACTTCCAGGGAAGGATTTGCAAGCCAGGGCTCCACAACGAAGTCCAAAACTTTGATGGTTGATCCTGTTAATATCCTTCTGGACATGATCAAGAAATAAGCACATCCCCAACTTTGGCCAAAACATAGTGCAGAGTTGAGGAATATGTGTTAAATTTTTTTGATTGTTTCTTTCATCGAAGTGCCCTAAGAACTGTCAAAGGGACACAAATTCCATAAAATCTGACCTTTCTAGTGAAAAACATTGAATGCCCAGCAGCCAAGGAGATCAAGAACCAAGGTCGGTATGACTCTTAGTGACGTAAAAACTAGTGTAGAAGATCCCCCAAATAAATAATAGCAATAATAATATGAGCCAAATTGCTCCTATTTATAAGTATTTGATGACACTTCCCCAAATGTGTTCCAAGAAAGTTACTCACCAAATAAGTAAATAATCTCCACAAATAACCCAAACAGAAGTTAAGCAGCTTCATAAATGAGATTCTTAAGCCTAGCTCACTGCCTCGGATCATCATCATCGGAGCCTTATCCCAACTATGTGAGATACATAAATGCCAATACCTTCTTCTATACCTAGAGAACCAAAAAAGACAAGACCCAGAGGATTGGCTCTACAGCCATAAAAGTTCAATTTCTGGACCATTTGTCTGGGGATCTACCTCATAAACTTTAGACCTTCTCATGTTGATGTTCTTAAACACACTGCCCCCCATCCCCATCTGACCTTCTCATGTTGATGTTCTTAAACCTTGAGAAACAAAAGAATGTTCACAAGGGATTCTAAATTTTTCTATTTTCAGGGAAACTTTGCTTGTCCATCTTTACATGCTTACATTTATTATCTCTATATCTCTTCATCCATCATGTATATTCATTGGAACTCTTTCTGATGTCATGTTCTTGGCAAGGTGGATATTCTAGAGTCCAATAATCCCGCATAAACTACAGGGTAGGTCTATTGTACCACATCTAGGTAGAACACTGTATTACCGAGTTAGAACAACCAGCCTGCAATATGAAAGCATTCAGAGAAGTTGTTCCCAGAGAAATAAGCATTTATTTAGAGTTACTTATCAGGACAGAAAACGAAAACATGAAGAAATAACATGGTGACATTATAATAACAAGAATATTGAGAGTCTTAATTCTTACCAGTGTAAATGGAGTCCAACCATGAAAAAAACCATGCTGCCTGAAGGCTTGGCCATCTGGAGACTTATAGGTACTTGCTAACAAGCATAAGCTTCCAATGAATGACATCTCCACAGTCATCAAGTATGAGCTGTGTTTCTTCACCTGCACAAGAGGATAGCCATCGTTAACAGAACAGAGAAAATATATGCCATACGGGTAACGAAGACATGACATCCATGAAATGGTGAAAATTAAAAGCTAACCTGTGAAGCCCACTGACATAGAGAAGAAGCCAGACCAGAGAGCACAGAAGCAACCAAAATAGGAACAATTCCATGGAAGAAAACTTGATCAGGGTTAGCACCACCAGAGCTTCCACCAGAGCCTTCTCCAATGCTAATCAACAGTGCAGCAATGATCAATAGGACCAAGGCACCAATTTGCTGAACTGACTGCTTTTGCCTGCAAGTTGCACCCAGCAAATATGGCACAATCAGAGACACTAGATAACCTTCTGAACCTGCCTGCAAGCATAATTGATTCAACAGGCTTGCATCAGCCTATGAAATGGAGCTGCAGATAATCGCACAAAGCACAACAAAAGCATACAATCTCTCAAAGAAAAAACAATATAAAAGCACAAAGTTGCTCCTAGATTTTAGATTTAAGATTTTTGGGCTTCATAAATAATATTATAAAAAAGTTTAAGTTTTTCAGATTATATTAGAGGCATGTAAGCCCTGTAGATGGAAGGTCTTCCACATGACCCAACACCTACAAAATGCAGAAGTAGAGCAAAAGAAAGATAAGATCCATTTGACATTTATAATATTGCATGATGTGCACTGTGCACTAAGAGATAGTTGCCAAAAGGCATAACATATAGGGAATAGGGTGACCACAATATGACATGATTAACTGTTCATCTACCGGATATAAATAATAATAATAAGAATAATAATGAAATGATCCAGAATTTATGATCAGGTAAAATAATGAGGAAATGGAATGTTGTGAGAAAATGTATGGAAATGCTGGGAACATTAGGGCCCAAAAAGTACTTTGAAATTCAATGGATATCAAGGGAATGCCAATAAATAAACGAAGAATGGAAGAACACATGTAAAATTGAGAGAAATGCAAGTGAGATTTGGGGAAAACACAACTGAAATGTGGAGAAGTGTTCTAGGTGCAGCAAAATTACGTCTCCGACAAATTTGTGAAACAATATAGTAACAGTTCTTAAAAAGTACTTCCTGCCTACAATCGAGGGTCCATGCAGATATGCACTGAGCATTATGAGAAACTGTAAAGAGAAGGAACTATCTTGAAGTTTGAGAAGGATGGATGATGCTTACATTTTCATTTCACGGTATCACAAAAAAGTAATCCTTAGAACCATGAGTAGCCATTTCTTCAACATAACATAATTATTCACCATCATTCATTTTTCTTTTCTTGTTGATTGGCATTTTCCCCATCATTTGTGGAGTGTGTTACTAATGCAATCCTTTTAGTGCAGATTGGTCAACTCAATTCTCTTTCCGAACCATTAAAAGAAATTCAAAGATTACTTCATTCACAAGAAGTTCCCATGCACTATAGGACATAAGGAAATAATTATTGAATTGTTTCTCTTAAGAAGTAAGCAAGATACAAGATGTCACACACAATAGACGAACAGAATTTATAAGGTCACAGACCAACCAAAGTAACTTAAGCACAGGACCAGCACTTCAAAACCCTGCAACCAGTAAAGATGAAATCCTTATAAAGACTGCAAGGTTTTGATTCTTGGGTTTCATACGCTTAGCTCACAGCATATTGGTTACTTATATTTGCCCAGAATCCCGACGATTGTTTGCAAGACTGTCATGGGTAACCATGAACAGTATGTCAGCTCAGAATGCGTACCCCAACATAAGATACATGAATAATGCCGTGAAGAATAGCTTTGTCTGGTTGAGCATTGAGAAAGTAAGAGAATCAAGGTTCTTGTATGAAATTTGCAACAAGCTATTTTGCAAGGCATATATTGCTGCTGGAAGACCTGAGGCAGTCAATGAACCGGTCAAAGTCCACTGCCTATAGAAACTTCTCAAAGGACCTTCCTTTGCAAGAAGGAACAGTGCGCATATAACCTGCAAGTAAAAAAAATATGAACATATAACAACATTGCATATGCCCTGAAGGCAAGTGTTGGAGCACTTACAATACCTTTGCAACTTCACATGCCAGAACAGATGAAGTCACAATAACGTCCTTTCTGTCACAAAAGCAAATCAATACCAGATAAATTGAAAGGTTGAAAGATATAGTACAGAAAAATGATAATTTCCATGCAAAATTTATCTGTACAAGATAAGAAATTAACGATAAATAACAATGTTTATTTCGACCAAATCATATCTGACAACAGGCAACTGCCAATATTGGAACACTGAAATATCTATACATGCAACCCTCAGGAATAATTGATTTTTTGCTGATGTTTCATGGATTTCCCAGCTATGTTGTCCTAATCTCAAAGACTCAGTTTTCAATTAATCTTTTTGGCCCTTGTGTCATCATCACTAGTCATAGTGAACCCATTCATTTCCTTTTTCTTTTCTCTGTTGATATTTCTACAACCCTTCACTTTACAAAACTGACGCTTGACCACTGAGGTATAGAGACTGTCTTATCATAGAAAAAAAGGTGATCAAAAAGAAAATTAAACTAAGAAAATAATTACTGTAAGGATGATGCCGACAAGCACTTCTAGCTGATTTTGATAAGATGGGTTAAAAAATGAACCCCCTTTTCTTTCTCCAAGAACCATTCACACCCACCAGGAAATAGTCACTTTTACAAGACATAGTTTATCCAGAAAATTGATTGCAGTCATATTTACAAGAAGATACAGACAATGAAATCAAGCTAGTCATCAAGAATAACAACAATCGACTCAAGCAGTATTCATCAAGAATAATGGGAAATTCAAGATCCATAATTTCCTAAGTTAATTACACTTCTGTCATGCATGCGTGGACCAAGATAATAATATCTAACCCTAAAATTGCAGTGTGCACCAATCAATCAAACAAACTGAACTTCGCCAATGCAGTTAAAAAAAAAAAATTCATTAAGGGAATCTACATCCTCACAAGTTTAATGTATCAAAATCAATAAAATCCTCAATATAATTTATAATCACAAAGACTCCTTTAGAGGAGTTACACATGGTAAATGTAGAAAATAAAAAGAAGAAAATAAAATGGTTCAAATAATTAGAAATTTAGCTCAATCCCATAAAAATTGGAGAAACATGGGGCAAAGTACAGAGTATTGAACAATAACATTCTAACAATACATAGCGAAAAGATTACAAACGATTGAAGAATAGCGCACATCAAAACCAAATAAAATGGGGAAAAAGGGAAAAATACATAGAATTGAAGAAGATATACATCCATAACCAAACCAAAAAATTGGAAGAGAAAATGAAAGAAATGCCAAAGAATTACAAAATTTACCCAGCAAAGCGCTTCGACAACAATGGCTGAGCACCGTACTGTAAGGTGAGCAGCATCAAGTAAATCCATATCTTAGGGGTCACACCCTGCTCTCTATTTTTCACTTCCATCATCAAAAAAGGCAATAATTTTGCCCAAGAGTTTTACGGTGGTTTCAATCAACTGTTACATATAAAAAATAACACGAATCACGATACCAGAAACCAGAAGTGAAGAGAGAGAAAGCCGGGAAAAAATGGCAACGAGAAGTGAAGAAGAGAGAGAGAGAGAGAGAACGCGCAATTCAAGAAGGATAGTAGGGAGAATCTCGTAGTTTTATTCTTTTTATGGGAATTTTAGCAGGCTTTTGTACAGTGCGTGTTAAGTGGGTTATAGCATGGGGAGGATATTGCTTTGAAATTTTGAATATTGGAAAGGGACATAACTTACTGAATATGCACGAGTTGCAATGGACCCGGATCCGACTTAGTACCCGCCCGTGATATCAGATACGGGTTGGGTATGGGTCGAGCATATGACTTGGATTCAAATACTAGGGTCCAGGTCTAATTGGATCCAACCCGTATCCGTAAACTGTTAGAGATAAAATACTTTAACTTATGCTTTATTCATTTGGGTGTATTAAATATCGGATATAATTAGAACTAGTAGTCGTGTTTAGATATTAAATGACAAATCATACAGCTTGAAATCTAATAGCGGATGATTGTGACCTTGTTGCCAATAATACAAGTATATGATGGTAAAAAAAGGGGCAAAAAAAAAACAAACTCATAGTGAGGTTGACAATGGACCTGAGACTCGATGGGTACGAGTATGGGTCCAATTTTTGGACTCGACAGGTCAGGTCCAAGTCTAAAACCTGGATAAAAATCTATTTCGGTCTGAGTCCGGGTCTAGCCAAACTCGACCCATACCTGACTCGTTGCCACCCCTATGAATATGGTACATTGGTACCCTTGTAAGCGGGTTATAGTTACGCTTTGGCCCATGGGTTTTGCAGCCCAAGCCCGCAAGATCTTGTTTTCTCTCCGGTTGTCACCATCAATAAGGTGCCATTTGATAAGTGTTGCTGCTCATTTTTCTGGATTCTACGAAGAAGGTAAAACTTGATATACTAAAAGCTGGGAACCATGTTTAATAACTTGCGGTGTTGGTAGTTTCGTTTGTTCTGTATTTGGAAAGCTGGAAATTGTCTGTCTTAACCGTTAATTATGTGTTTCATTGATATGACGTGTGAAATGTATATTTAAAATAAAATTTTCTTACTACAACCCATCTAATGTTTTCTTATTAATTGTGTTTCTTCAAGCTATCCTATATGACTTTAAAATACGTATATAGATTCAAAGAATACTTTATTGTATATGAAGACTTCATAAAGGTGCCCCTCTTATTCTACCAACATTTACATCCTTAAGAAACAAAATTGGTTTTCTTATGACCAAAATTTCACTGTAGCCTTCAAAAGCAAACATATTCCAATTGCTTAATAAATCGACATTTAAGTTTCAAAGCTAACCATTTTACTTAACCATCACACCAATACATTACAAAAGATAAGTATGTCTCCGTATTAAAAGTAACAGGAAATCCGTCACTTGAACAGAGAGAGTGAGATGACAAACTTATACACTAGCGATTTCGACATCTTCAATATGCATCCCAAATTTGTGTCCCCTCAATTGTACCTCAAAATTATCTGCTGACCTACTTTGGGAGTTCAACTCCTCAAGTTCTTCACCTTCATATTTGTTTTCTTCTTCATCTCTTGTTCGCAACTCGAGATTTTTCCTCACTTGTCTAAGAACTCGACTTTTAAGGGTAGCAATGGGTTGTGTCGGGTCGGGTGGCAACGAGTTAGGTCTAGGTCTGGGTCCGGCTGGATTCAGTGATGAAAAGTCCTAGATGTGAATTTCCTAGGCATTTTTCTCTTTCCCTAGGGTGCTTTCATTTAATTAGGATCATTAACTTAAAGATCGACGATGAAGGACTCATTTTCGCCATCTAATCCGAGCCTAAGGGTTTGGCTTTTCAAGTTATTAATTTCTTTTTTATTATTTTCCATTATTGTTTGATATGCGTTATCGTTTTCTTTAGTTATGTAGCTCTATTTTCTTCATTAGATCTGATATTCATAATTTCTTTGTTATTTTCCTTCTTTCTCTTTGTTAGATTTTATTTTATTTTATTTTATTATTTTCCTTAGTTTGTCATTATTTATCTTTATTTGCTTCAATAGATTTATTGGTCTTGCTTTCTTTTATTTCAATTTCTTTTCTTTTGTGTTTATTATGGATTTCACATTGCCTAAGATAAGCTCGATTGCATAGTTACAAAGAATATTTCTTTTAAGGCTGCTTTATCTGTAGATCTGAATTTGACGGGACCCACTTCTATAGACTCATTTAAACAATTAAGCTGGCGTACGATCTCAAATGGATCAAATTTCTTTTAGTTTGGTCGATACTATATTCGCATGTAGATACTGCAAAACCATCCCACCCTACTAGTATATATGTGAAACACATGTCGAAGTTAAATGCAGCCAAAACATTCTAAGATAGCTCCCTCTTCCAATTACGGTATCGTTGTTGCAATGACTTTGGAAACCTAAGCAGGAATTTAGGTCCCATCCAATGCTCCAACACAATCCTAATATGACAATCCCAATTAAGTAATTTAAATAATACCATCATCACTTATTAAATCTAAAATAATATATACAATGTTTACCTTGAAAAATGGGAAGAATTTCTTTTTCATTCTCATTGAGCTATGTGTGTTTTTTGAGATAGAGACGACAAAACATGGAGCCAACTGCGATATTGCATTTAGGACCTTATTGAATTAATAATTAATAATCTGCCTAGGATGTTGAAATTGAATATGCATAACCCTATTACGCTCATTAGGTGCAAATGTATTTAGGAATATGATAACTTGTTCTTCTACTATCATATATTGAGAATTACAAAGTAGACCGCCTTCTTTTAAAATTCTACACAATCCTATAAAGGCATCCATGCCCATTCCCAGTAAATTGAAGTAATTGTTTTCATAGGATTTTAGTAAAAATAAATGTGGCACCAGTAAAATAACATGTGTGCGCTAGACTCCTCGATATTAGGTAGGTTTAGTAGTTCGAGGCACAACATAAGGTTATTACATATGCAACATAATATCTTACATAGATATCATATAGCTCAAATTGAATCCATATGGGCAAATTAACATACATTCCAAATACATAGAGAGTCCATTTCAATTATACCCATCTGGATGTAAATATGACATATTATACATGTAAACATCCACAAAAACCCATCATAATACTAAGTTATAGGTTCACTGATGTTACCCATGATGCCTCAAGAATCCAAATCATGAGTGAAAAAACACTTTTAATACATCAAAACCCATTTTTCAAAAAGCATTAACATCTCATATTCTACAAATGAGTTAAAAGACAACCAACCATAATTGAAAGAGTGGTTCACAAAATCCAACCATATTTGCCATATGTCAACTTCAAAAAACATGAGCATTGAGTTGCAGATTTTCAAAACAACAAAGCTTCAAAGCAAAGCTCCTAGAAATACTATTATTTACATGAATATCCACATCCACTAATATCCACAAAGACAAGAAAAAAAAATTATTATGATGCACTTAACTATCCACATCCACATAACATCCCATCCACTAATAATATCCATATATTTATAATATATATATATATATATATATATGGTGTGGTTTCTATAAGGTTGCAGCCTTAAACAATCCAATTAAGGTGCACCTCCAAATTTAATCATAACATGTAATTTTAAACTCCAAAAAAAAATGTTTAAAATCAAGTAGATCGATAAACATATGAAAATCTTAAGAATGGATGGACAAGATAATGTGTTGCAAGATGCAATATTTATGGGACTCAAAATCTTGAAAATCGATGCCGAGATGATCAATTAGAGGGTTTTTCAACACTAAAACAACATTTTCCGATGGATTTTTTAGGTGCATCTTTAATTGTACATTTAAGGTTGCAACCTTATATAAACTTTTTTCGCACACACACACATACATAGTGATTTCGCCTATAGGCTCATCACCATCCAAAAAAATCAGATGGCGTGGATAAAACGACCACCACGGAGTCCGTGACATTCGAAAATTCACACAGAAGCATCATGGACATTGTGTCGTTCGTTGCGGGTAACATAGCAATAGCAAGTTCATGGCTGGGCAAAATACTATTCATTTTTTGCCTATAGGTGTTTTTAACATTTTTCCATATATATATATATGGAAAAGTTTATATAGAGCCGAAGCTCTAAACAATCAAATTTGAGCCTCCCTAAAAAATTTCACTAAAAGAGGTTGTTTTGATGCACGGATATCTTCAAATTGATTATCTCGACATCAAGATGCAGGCACATGAGAAAAAAATGGATCGTAAGTTTTGGAAATAGTGTATTTTGTGACGTTTTTTTAGACCGTCAATTTTCAGTTTGTGTAGATATGTTGATCTACACTATTTTTTAAGCTTTAAACTTTATAAATAACTATGAAAATATATTTTAAGGCTATCACAAAGATTTCCAATAAGGAAACCACATTTCTCGACACTATTTGAAGGTAGGATCTAATTTGATTGTTTAGAGCCTAGGCTCTATACAAACCGCACCTATATATATATATAATGATACTATAAAATCCTCCTACACTCATCTGAATATGACCCCAAAGGATCACCACTAAAATTTGATGCAGATGTCTAGAAGAGATTTAAATTCACCGGGAGACCTGCTCAGCACCAAGTTGCCAGGTCATAACTTGTGCCCCTCTCTCTCTATTACTTTACCTTTCAATTTATAACTCTATCTTTATCTCGTGCCTTCTCTCTCTCTCTCTCTCTCTCTCTCTCTCTCTCCTTCTACTTCTACTTACTACTACTTACTTACTTACTTACTACTACCTACCTTTACTCTTACCTTCCTTTACCCTTTACCTTTACCCTTTACCTTTACCCT